GGGCCCCTACCTTCAACGGCAACCAGTGAAGTTGTCAGAAGTGTTCCAGGATAATGAAGTTGTGACAGGTTATCCATGGCTCGGAGAAGGAGAGCTCTTTGTTCCACCCATGACCAGCCAAACAGCCGAAGCATGCTCTTTTTTCCCTCTTGAGAAACTTCCAACAAAGTCTTCAAAAGACTTGTCCAAGACTAACTCTTTCAGAGGACCGTTTAAACAATGTCAGACTTACACTTACAAGTAGTGTCAGTATTAGTAATGGCGGTAATAGCATGTATTAAGACACATTCCAATCCTCTGTGTGGATGTTGCGATGTGGTCACCTCTCGCCTCGCCTCGCTCGTGTTTTTTCGATCGGTGTCGCCGCGGAGGTGGCCTTGTATCTCACCGCGGCGATCTGCACCCGGGAGTCTTCCTGGCAACTGGGCGAACACCGAGGGAGTTCCTGGGAACTAGGACACCAAACCAACCAGGCGGAAAACATGGTGATTCAGACTCTTGTGGGCACACCATAACTATAACTAACACCCGGTAAGACTCTAACTAACACCGTGGGATACCATGGCATACCAGGGCTCTTTGGACCCATCAGGAGCCGTGAATTGCACTCTCCGCAGATTCGGCGTTCACACAACCGGTGTGAGAAGGCACCCGCCCTCGCTGGGCCAAGGAACAAAAGAACCCGGGGGCAAAATCTTGAAGCTCGCCCCCCCGATAAAAACCATCAAACACACAATACTATTCACATGATGTGATACATCCGCAGAAGCGTTCATCAGCTCTATTTTACTCTTTTTTCTGCTCTTAGGCCCCTGCACGACCATACACCTTTTGGGTATATCCTCATCCCTGTAAGAGTGGATGATGATGCTCAATCAAGCCCCTTTCTCCAAAATATCGTGAGGTTCTTGTTTACCGACTACAGGTCTTGGGACCGGAGGACCCTCCGACCGGTACTGTTAGCCGGTCACCTACGTCACCAAGGCTGAAGAACGGCACGGCCAACCCGCCGGGCGGCCTCCGAGGCGAAATACAAGGTGCCGGCCACCACGGGATTGGGATCCTGGGGCCGTATAGGTCATGAAGCGAAGCGAGGGGGAGTGCGAGTGTTGCCTGAGTTTTTTGGGGGGAGTGCGAGCCAGTGTTGCTTGATTTTTTGGGGGGGAGTCGGAGTCGGAGTCGGAAAAAACTGTGGAAAAAATATCAGTGGTCGGAGCATTGAGAGCATGCGAGACATATCGAGAGATGTCAGGAATAGTTAACTGATGTTAATTCTAAGTTAATTGGCTGATGGCCAGGTGGGGATGTCCTTCTACGATGGTTTGGTTCTGTGGAACGGCGTGCCGAAGGATATAGAACACTTCACCTTCTGAGGCTCACAGCCCGAGCTTGTCGACATCTCCCTATGGAAACACATATTGTTCGAAGAGGCCATGAAATGAATCTGCAAGCCTTCCAGTGACCCCACAACAAACTCTTCAATCTTGAAATGATCCGTTTGACAGATCAGCTGGGCAGTTGACATGTCCCGCGTTCGGTGCCGCGTGTTCCTGTGGTGTGCAATCCAACAGCGCTGCCAAGGGTAAAGATGCACGGCCCAGCACCTTAGCTCGTGCAGCCAGGTCTGGAGCCGTCTAAAAAGGTGTCCCCAAAGGGAGAACTGCTTGGGTGGAAGGGCTTACACTCTGGCTAGCATGGAAGTGGGACATAGGCCTTTGGAAGATCATTTTACTCTACGAACAGGGGGTTGTCCATGTCCATGTTAGTGCATAGGGTCAATCTGAGTCATCTTGGTCATCTTGAGAAACAACGCCGGGGATCGCAGCATCACTCTAGAAAGGGTTCCTGGAAGGTGGAAGGAATCGATTGAGAGACGCTTGACTTTAGATTCTCGTTCCACTCTGCCTGGGTGAAACAATCTCTTTCTAGAGGCACGGCAAAGGGATCACAGAGTCGTTCTTCCATTTAACTTCTGAGGTCACTGAGGCTGCCGCATAAGCAGAAGAACCGCCAGAGGAAAATGCCTCTTGATTGCAGCGATCATCACACTTCAATCGAGGATGTGGGAAGAAATCTGAAGCCCATGTGCATCGCTAGAAGGTTGGAGGCCGTCGCTATTAGGTTGATACAAATCGGCCAAAAACTGTGGCAACAAAAATCCAGTGGCACAACATGCGCACTACTGCTGTGCCCCAAACTGAGCTATATATCTTCTCCTGTCCCGCCACATTCGCCATCCGAAGATTCAAACATCCACCAAACGAACACAGGCTGACAGGGATGCTGATCTTTCATTCGCAACCAACGAACGATATCCAAAGGAATCACAAAGCGCACACAGGATTTGGGTCTTCAAACTGCCACTCGTCGAGCTCATCGTGACGAGCGTTCCCGATCCTTTGAGCCCAAGCACTGCAGCACTCTCAACGCACCCACTCGACTGACCGCGCCGCTCGACCGACCCGCTCGACCACCCGCGCCTGCAATTCCAAGCGCAGCGACCCTCGCGCAAAGTGTTCCACTTCCGCGTCGCCCATCTGGCCCAGTTTCGGTCACGGGCGGCACCGGAGGAGAACGACAGGGTCGAAGAGTGGTGGTGGGAAGTGGGATGGATTGGGGGGAAGGGGAAGACCATGTCTTGGAAGAAGGAAATTACCTATCACCTACCGTCCTACACATGTATGGCTGGAGTTTGGGGTGGATCCAAGATCTCATGGTATCATTGAATATCCTCCGTATGTTATTTTACAGTTCTTTTTGCTACCGTTGGCAGTGAGTGCCATATATGATTAAAGCACTCTTCCTGGTCCAAGATCTGAAAACCAGAAAGCACTCTTCTTGAACTTCTTGCGCAAAAATGCCCCCCGGTCTGGGGAGAAGACCTCGAAGGGGCCGAAGGAGAGCAAGGAGTCGTAGCGAGGACAGAGACCACCCTGGCGGGCGCCGGTGAGACGGCGCAGGCGAGGCTTCAAGACTGCAACGCCAGCACTGGGCTGGTGGGGTCTGGGGGGATACGGAACAAGACTAGAAGCCACTTCAGAGTCTGGATAAGTCTGGATACGGAAGAAGAGAAGTCGTATAGGCGGTCTCGTCCATCTTGAGTGCTTTGTAGATGGTAATTAGTTTCTTCAAGACAAGAGGACTCACTCAGATCATGGTATTCTCTTGGATTAACCGGCTCTACTCATGAACCCCACAATGAATGCCTTCACGTGGTGCTCCGGCCAATGTAAATGGAGACCAAATTCTGAACCACCAGTTTTCCTAAGCCTCAACCCTCCAAACTAAAATGGCAGGGGAGCACAAGTATCAAGTAAGCATATAGTGGATTGAGAGTAGATGGCGCAATCCCCAAATGTTGGTGGTTTATATGAACCCCAATCTAAAAGACATCTCTGGGTGCCTGGGTGCCAGTGACTGTCAGTGCTCTGAAACCAACGACCATGTGCAAAAGAACAAACCAGAATACATATCAAAGTAAGCACAGTATGGCCAGGATCCTGACTGGTGCGACCCGTAGGGAATAAGGGAATGAGCTCCAAATAGAGATTCCTCTAAATCCATTCCCTCATGATCTACGAGTTGCGTAGCAAGTCACGCTTTTACACCCGTTGTTTCCCACGTGTTCACCGGTACCGTGTGTCTCACCACGTGAGTCTCGTCTCACCACCGCACCGCAGTCTCGGAGCTGCCCACGTCGCAGTCCATGAATTCGGCGAGCACCTGAATCGCCGGGCACACGGTGGACAGAAAGTGTGGGAAACACGAGACGTTTTTGGAAGAAATTTGGAGACTGACTGGATCTTCTTCCTCTTCCGCCATCGCTTCTGCTTCTACTTCTACTTACTAAATCTTACTACTTACTACTTACTACTTCCTACTTCCTCCTGCTGCTGCTGCAGCTGCTGCTGCTGCTGCTCCTACTACTACTACTACTACTACTACTACTACTACTACTACTACTTACAGAAAGGTCGTTTCCAATCTTTTGTATGAGGGATGAGGGCTTGAACCTTGATGACTCAATCAACCGCATGTGGTATGGGAAGTGTAGGGAATGATGAACATAACTTGCGTGTCTTGTTCAAGCAATATATCGTATAGTCGTCTATATATTGGTTGAAGTTCTGACGTCTTCAATTCTTTCATGCTTATACACGTCTCTTGGATGTAGGAGTTCCCATTGTTGGCAATCTCATCCAACATTATACGAACTATGAATGAAACTGACGGCGAGCCCTTGGCCCTTCTGACTTACAGGGTCACAAGCCCATTTGGACAGAACTTGTTCACCGGTGCTCCGTACACGATGTATTATATAGTGTATTTCTTCTTCACACGGAGCCTTCTGATGAAAGTCTTCCCACCACCTCTCCAAGACTTGGGGCTCCTGTGATTCTCACCTCATCCATGAAAACACCACTCGACAATCCTAGTGCACTCAGTCTGCAGGGCCCCTGCCAATGTGACCAAGCTGGTAGCGGGTGGAACTTGTGACAGGATTGCACCTGAGACTTGTCACATCACTGGCTGTGGTGATATTTTGTGTGGTGATCTGCGCTCCGCGAACAAACACTCCTCTTGAACAATTGTGTCGCCCCTCCCCACCGCAACATTCCTGATCACATCTGATCCCACATGGCCTATCTCAAGCTGTGGGTGGGGATTTGTGTTGGACATTCCCTTAAACATGGCACGCGATGATATAGATTGGTTGGAGACGCCTGCCTAAGCCTCGCGATTAGCATCTCCTGCTGAGGGGCTCAAGGGTAAGTGTGGAGGGGTAAATCAATTGTTATTGGATGGCGAGTTTTACCCGGTCTTGGTCTCTGATAGTGAACAGCTGGAAGCGAAATACACCAACCCCCCACAAAGACCAATCAAACATCGAACATCAAACCCGAGGAAAGCATTTATAGAATCGATTCGTTGCGACTCCTGCCGTAAAACCTCTTACCCATCGGGTCCAAGTCGATGGGCGACGGGGCGACATCTTTTTCCTCCCAAATTCCCAGCTCAGCTGGTCACAGAAGTCCATTGCTGGGATTGTGACCCAACAAACGAATCATCTGCGTTTGCACCTGAGCAACAGCGGCGCGGCGTATGTAGCCGGCCCCGCTGGCCTGAGCCTCAGAACTCATCGCCATAGCCTTAGTTGAGGGTCAGGTTCAGCACCATGGCCACAAACCTGTCCTTTTTGGCTTTGCCAAACGGATTCTTTGGCATTCCGTTCCCCGCACGTGTGAACTGGTCTCATTCCCTTCCCCGGGCGTGTGTGTGATTTGCAACCATTTTTCCTGCAGAATGGACAATCCTCCTCAGCACCCGTTCCATGAAAACGAAAAGAACATAGGAAAAAGCCGGTAGTGACGATCCAAGTATCCTTCCTCCTCACCTTCACCTGAGAAACCAATCACCAATTCATGAGCCAAGCGATTCATGCATGAACATGTTTCGCAAAAAACATCCCAAACACATCCGGTCAACCAACAAACGTGAAACACAAATTCATCACCCTTGGTTTAAGCGAGCCTTCCGCCGTTTCGATGCCCACTTCTTCGTAATCCTTCTCCAATGCCGCCAAGTCCTGTCAAAGTTCTGATAGGAAGTCCCCAAAAAGGTCGGCGTAATAAACTTGGTAGATGTGCAGATTAGGGCCCTGGCCATTTCAATCAGTTGATTATTTTGTTGGTCAATCTTCAGCAAGCCATTGGTTTTGGCTTTTCGACATCTTGAAAAGAACTTCCGTCTGTGAAGAGATTCACAGCCAAGTATTTCCGTGGTTTCTTTGATCCCCAGGCATCTTCATCGGTCGGCCCTCGAGAGGGCATCCCATCCTCACGGGCTTCAGAGAACTCACCCTCTTCCATGCCCTCGCCCACGTAGTGGTGCACGAAGGCTCGCTTGGAATACCTGCAGAGTTGTTGTTCAATTTGACATCTGATGACTGAACCTCAAGGACCACAGCTAAGAGATATTAACAAACTTCGAATATCAGAAGATGACGTTTCTTAATGTTTCTTAGCTTAGCAACCGGTCGTGCACTGTGCAGCGCAGTTGTCAAGCAAGCAGAAGTTCTCTTGGGTGTTGGAAAGAAGTGACACTTGATTTGGGGCCATGCCTTCATTTATATGTGAGGCCACGGGCTTCAACATGACTGATGTCAAGATGAGAACAGCAGTAACTGCATAGTTCCAAGAAAGATCTTCTAGCGGCTTCACAGTCTCAGAGCAAATGGGATACTCAACGAGGCCCATCTTGCCCATGTGGCAAGTTGCATGAGGTCAAACTTGTGGTCGATGCGAGAGAAGACCTCTGCGATGGCCTTTGATGACACGGTGTGAAGATTTGCAGCCATGAAGGATCATGAGGACTAGCGGGGTTTCTGTTGAAAAATGACAAAAAACGTCTGCATGCTTTGTTGATGTCTTCTCCAGTTCTCCCAAATCTTGTTGAATGCAAAACAAAATCATTGGGGGTGCTTCAAGCTTCATCACTAGCAGATGTGAGATTCTACACCTAGGCAAACTGAAAAGTAATGAAAGTTATGTGACAAGGAACGACATTCAAGGGGTTTGTAACGAATTTAGAGCAAGGGGTTGCAGAATGCTGGGGAGAACAAATGTCGTTCATGCGGTACAGCAAGGCGAACTCTAGAGGAAAACGAGATCTCCATCCTTAAAGCCAAATGACATGCATTATGGTCCACAAATCCTCCTGAGATCTATTCTTGACAAAGACTCCAGCAGTATCACCCCAGTCGTCAGCACCCAGAAGTACCACCCACCCAGCAGAACCACACCCAGCGATGGATTCCATTCGAGTCACCGTGGAGTTGGAGATCATGCAGCAAGCGCGCATGACCTTGGCCAGGTCGCCTCCAGGCACCACAGTGGGTGGCTGGTAGTTGATGCCACACTTGAAGCCGGTGGGGCACCTGCAGGGCGCGGACTTCGCCATCCAATGTGCTTCAGGTCATCCAAGAGTCGTTTAAGGTGGATAGAATAAATATGGAGCCTGTGAACAACTCACAGGAAAAACCGAGGGGCTTGCTGGAATCATCCTGGAAGCTATCTGTTTCAGGGCATTAAGCAACAACAGGAGTTTGAGGCTACTTCAGGGCGTTAGTGTTGTTAGTTATCTTCATGGTCTTAGTGTTTGGGGCTATTTAAGGTTGCTGACGGGTACTGGGATCTGATTGGGACCTACCCCATAGGAAAGTCATCCAAACAAACATGTCACGATCCTGGTCCATGGAAGCAACGATAAGCAACCCGTCACAAGTGACAAAGCCTGTCCACCCTGACCGCGCTTGATGTTCCGAGTCTGGGAGAAACCTACAGTGTGTGTCTTTTTCGTTTGGCTGGGCATGTGACAGGACTTTGCACGCAACATAAGGGCCACACAGTGAGACAATGGATGGAATTGACGGTAGGAATCGACAAGCATCAGCTTTCAACCAACCCTCCTCAAGCCGACAAACCACCAACTGATCCCAGCCGGTGAGCAGAGGATGAGCCATGGCAGCATATGCAGCATCCCACCCCTCCATGATTCGACCGAAAACCACGCGTGGCGCTGGATTCACCTCCCCAAGCCTATTTTGCTGGCAACTCGTGATATCCTTGATTACAACCGGGAATCGAAATCACATCTACCTTTTCTGGATCATGGCATTTACCGAAAGCGGGTAGATCGATGTAGCTGGCAAAGGGTCATCGAAACGGTCTTCCTATCAACTCTGGGTTGATTCACGGTCAACGCCGTCCGTGAAACATGGTGAACATCTACAACATTCTACAACATAACTGATAAGCGGTCCTCAGACAGAGCGTTCATCGACCGTCCTCTTCACGGTGTTTCGTTTTGACCCACAGCGGTAGATGATCGTTCGATTGACTCTCCAAGGCACCAGTCAACGAACTGGATGGTGCGCTTGGTCTTGATGGTGGCCACTGCTGCGTTCACGTCCTTTGGAACCACGTCTCCTGCATGCTACCGGAGAAACATCTGGTGACCGGAGAAGCATCAAAAATAAGGTCAGGAGTGTACGACAAAGAGTTGAAAATTGGAGTGAAATCGGGACGATCTGCTCTGTTCTTTGTGGAGAATTTCAATTAGAACCACCAAATCAGTTCATGCTGCATTCGCACACTTTGATTTGGCAATGCTTCAGCTCTATTCAAACAGGTCATCCTCCGTCGCTAACATTCTATGCAGTGTCTTCCAGTGGTAGACTACCTGTATCCTTCTCAAGGACTGTCTATTGAACCTTCATTTTGCTTCAAAAAGGTCGATTGCGTCTCCAACTTCTTGAAGCCATCAACCCGCTCTCCTCGGTACATCATGCAGCAGGCCATGTATTTCCTCGGCTGCTCGGCAAAGTGACGAACAGAATGCAACCGCATCCCCAAGTTCAAAGCTGCAGTTTGGGCACATGAAACCTCCATTTGTGTAAACGTGAAGATCATGTCAAACAAACCACTTTCTGCCTCTTCATACAACTCATAATTACTGCATAATTACCAACCACACAAAAAGGTGTTGCAGGCCAACAGAAGTCGACTGCATAAAATCCTGGAAGCGTTTAGGGTGGGCACTGCACAATTTCTTTAAAACAAATGGAATTCCAGCCTCATTCCATACCATAAATCATCATAAACCCTGGACTATGGACTCCACCCATAGTCCTGCTTCCGATTCTACGAGTGTCCCATGGCGTGGGTCGCACTTCACCATCATCGAGGCAGGTTCGAAGACGGACATGGTGATCTCGGCCACTGAGAGCTGCTCGTGATAGGCCTTCTCCGCGCTGATCACAGGGGCGTAGGAGGTCAACATGAAGTGGATCCTGCTTGAAGGGGATGACATGAGCAATTCCACAAGAAACAAACAGATCCTTGGTCACATGATGTCACATGCAAGAAACAAAAACACTTCGTTTGACAGACATGGCTAAGCGGCTCATGCATAGAATGGCAAAGCTGTGGCAGCAGAACAGTTATTGGAGATGTTGAGAGTTGATCACTTGATCACAACAAAAAGAGATTCCCGATACAGCAAGAAACCTTTCTGGGAAAACACTCTGTAACAAGTGACATCAATCAAGTGACACAGGACGACACAAGGCCAACAGTCTAAGTAAGAGTCTAAGGTACCTCTCTCATGATCCACCGGCAGGTCCTGGGGTAGGGCACTAAATTTGTTTGGAACTCCGTGATGTCCACGTTCAAAGCACCGTCAAAGCGCAGTGAAGCCTCACGTTCAACTGTGTAGGACGACGTGAAGTCCTTCTGTATCGATGAACTAAGGACTTTGGACCAAAAACACAAGTTCGACGGATCTGCTTCTGCAACTGCCAACGAGTGTGAACCAAATATCAAACCCAGAACATGGAATCGTCCCAGGTCACTTGAAACACTTCTAACCTGCGAACCTCCTTGATCGACTATCTCGATCCATCTGCCCACACCAAAAGGCACCTGCTTTGCTCAGGGGCCAAATCATCTTCCATCTTGTCAAAGCCAAGAGACGGTCAAAGAGGAGATGATCTGGGCAATCAACCTGTTCAGATTGGTGTAGGTTGGACGTTCGATGTCCAAGTTGCGGCGGCAAATGTCGTAGAGGGCCTCGTTGTCGTACATGATGGTCACATCCGTGTGCTCAAGCAGGGAGTGGACGCACAACCTGATGATGTGTTCAAACAAATGTGAGCAGCACGTACCAAGCGAAGGAAACAACAAAGCAAGTAACAAAGCGAGTAACAAATGCGCAACATCGAAAAACACAAAAAACACCATGCCGCACGATGCATTCCCAGGCACACTGTATTGTATGGTTCCACGACAGCTGTCGCAACTTGTGGGCAGCACCAAACCTTGCATGTTGGATTGGTTGGCACAAAACATTCAATTTTTTGAAGTTTGCACAAACTTTATAAGTACCAAAACAATAACACAAAAAAACGTCCTGCGCACAAACAAAGAATCCGTGAAGGAGATCTTGCTTTTCTTACCATAATCCACGGACAGGCGTTCGAGCATGAGACAGCCAAGGCCAGACCCAGTGCCACCACCGCAAGCGTTGTACACGCAGAATCCTTGCAAACCTCAGAATGGTGTGTTTTCTCGTTTTTTTTTATGAATTGATTAGTTTGATTGAACACGTTTTCAATAAAGATCCAACTGTTTGTTGGTCGCAACGCGCTTCAATATGTAAAGGACCATCGCAACGAACAGTTCCATTCTTTTTGTTGGCTGTCTTGTATGTTGGGCACTTGGGTACTCAAGAAAATTTGGAACCCCTAAATTTCGGCAGTTGATGTGAAGAAACCAGTGCAGTTGTCCGCGAGCTTCCTGATCCTGTCGAGGACAAGGTCCACAATTTCCTTCCCGATGGTGTAATGTCCGCGTGCAAAGTTATTGGCAGCATCTTCTTTTCCTGAGATGAGCTGCTCGGGGTGGAAGAGCTGACGGTATGTGCCAGTGCGGACCTCATCGACAACTGTTGGCTCGAGATCTACCATGACCTCAGGCGTGGCCAAAGACAGGACTGCTCACAAGTGATCCGCAACTTCCCGCTCCGCAGCCAACCCACGGCAAAAAATACGCGCACACATCCGACACAGTTTCCATAAAATCTGCACATCGAAGAAAAACCACAAATAATGCCAAAAGATGCCCAACAGCTGGGCATGAACCCGCCAAGTAGGCAACGGCACATCGCAAGTTCACCAACAAGTGCCGTGCCTTTGCCAGAAATTGCTGCTTAAAAGCATGTGAGCGAGAGTCACAACACGCATGTGCCCACACGTGTGCAAACCCGACAACGCAGCAACAAGCAAGAACCAGGAAACCTGCTTTGGAGCCCATCCTGTTACAAAAGCATGCCCCGACTTCGCGGCATCTCAGCGTGACAACATGCCCACATGTTAGCATGACCCATGTCAACATTACAGCCTGGCAACATGTCGCATGAAGACATATATCAGGGTGACAACATGTCAGTGTGTCTACACAGCATTTGCATGACAAACGTGCAAAGAACATGTCAACAATGGCAGCAGAACACCATGTACATGTTCGTTTGGCAACACCTCAGCATGTTAGCACGCCAACGGCTTAGCGCGCCAACGCGAAACTGCACGTCAGCATGACATTAAGTTCGTAGGTGACCGTGACAGTCATGATTTGACGAAGCCAAACCACTGCATCAGCACTACAGCAATGAAACCACAAGTCAAAATGACTTACAAAGCCAAGGGGCTGGTTTCGGAGGCTGCGCCTGCTGACGTCGGCCTCTGAGTGGCAGCTCCGTCCATGTAGATGGTTCTAGCTTGGCTGACCTGCGCGCAGCAAAACAACCTTGTGCTATGATAAAGCACACCGCGCTGCTCAGTGTCGGGACAGGCCTGCTTCAAGGAGACCCGGCGTGCAGCTGTGCAATCGTTGTGGTAAGGATTTGGCTGGCGAGGCTGGAAGACCAAGATCGACACTGGAGATATCCTGCCTTGTCTGGCAGCAATCGAAACAGCCGTGGGTAACGGTCCACAGCAGCCTGGAGCACTTGCAGCACCTCCAAAGCACAGAGCGCAGGCCAGAAGATGTTAGTGTAGGAAACCCGGCCCGAAGCCCCAGTGAGAGTTTGCAAACTTTTTCCAGCCGTGGCGTTCCTAGCTGCAAGTGTCGGCAGGGCAGGAAAGAATTGCCTCGCAGGTTGACCAGTGCTCAAGTGCTGCAAAGAAAGAGTGCAAGGCCGCTGGTCTTGTCAGAACATCCTGGGAGGCTAAAGGTACCCTGTCTGCAGCGTCTGTGTGCAGGGAATGTGCAGGATCTGGTGCGTAAACAGCGCAGTGATCCTCTTGCTCCGCATCTGCTACAGTGGCGAGCACCTCTGGCGCAACAGGTCCTGCTTGCGTCCTCAGTGGGGCGCAAAGTCTAAGTATGCTACGTTGGAGTGGCGCTGTGTTCCGGCGCAGCATCAAACATCTAGACCCCAGAAACAAAGCCTCTCTGCTTTGATAGCCTTATCGAAAAGAAAGCCCCCAACAAGCGATAATGTTGAGGCACGTATGACGTGCTTGAGCCGTACAAGCATCGAGAAACACATAAGACTCATTCTCGTCATCAAGACATCTTGAGGCTTGACTGATGCTTGGTTGGTTGGTTGGTTGGCTGGGTGCTAGGTTGCTTGGTTGGTTGGTTGGTTGCTTGGTTGGTTGGTTGGTTGGTTGGGTGCTAGGTTGCTTGGTTGGTTGGTTGGTTGGTTGCTTGCTTGGTTGGTTGCTTGCTTGCTTGCTTGCTTGGTTGGTTGGTTGGCTGGCTTGTTTGCTTGTTTGCTTGTTTGCTTGGTTGCTTGGTTGCTTGGTTGCTTGGTTGCTTGCTTGCTTGCTTGCCTTGCCTTGCCTTGCCTTGCCTTGCCTTGCCTTGCTTGCTTGCTTGCTCGCTGGGTTGGTTGGTTGGTTGGTGGGTTGGTTGCTCGGTTGCTTTGTTGCTTGGTTGGCTGGTTGGCTGGTTGCTTGGTTGGTTGGTTGGCTGGGTGCTAGGTTGCTTGGTTGGTTGGGAAAGCTTCAACGGCTCTATGCCTTGAAGCAGGTGCGATGCATTTTCCATCTTCAGCGAAAAGACACCGGTTGCCAAATCACTCTGTGTTAAAACAATTTGCTCCCTAAATGTTGCTAAGCCGTTTGGCAATAAAACTATTCATTGGTAAACGTTTGTTGGCAACACTTTGGGTTGCCAAACCTTTTTGAGATGTCTTTGGACAGAACACCGCCGTCCTTGAGACAAATCCTTCGGTTGCAAACAATTTTGCGAAAAACTCCTTCGATCTGCTCCAAAGTCTTTACTATGGCTGAATAAGCCCTAAGCTTTGCCATTGGAAAAAAGACCTCCAATCTCCTGCACCTGCCACAAAGGCCGACTTGACATTGCCCAAACACCTAGACTGCACACCCCAAAGTCCGAAAAATGCACACCGCACCACGGCGGAGCCATGGGAGTTTGCAACCCTAATTTGGCTCTAACTGGCAGTTGAATTCCCTTTGAATTCATTTTTGTTGTCAAAGCCATTCCCCTTCACAATAAGTGATATGAAAACCTTCCAAAGATGGTTTTATGTGAAGGAGTCTGTGTAGTAATTGGGCCGCGGATGATGTCTCACTCAGTGTCTCTAGAACCAATTCCTAGAGCCAGCTTCGGCCAAGCCCACCTGCTCAACATGATTTCTGGAAGATCTTGTGGAAGAAAACCACACAATTTTTGCTTACATAGAGGTAGTTATCCTGCAACAACAAGTAGAAGTTAGGGTAACCAAAACTCATTGGGAGTTGCAACCCATCTTTGTGGCAAACATTGACGCACACCCACACACCAGTCTACTGACTGACAAAAAAGGCTTATCATATTTTGTCCACGAGGAATCAGTCGGGCAGGATGCCCTTGTTGAACCAATAGCTATCCAAACAGAACAACTCCAAAACAAACGAATTCAGAAGAGTTCCAAGCTGACCGAGAAACGCATCTTGGCACATGTTTGCCGGCACCGGTCTCAGAGAAGAACCTGAGCTTTGATCCGTGCAAGTGTTGGGGCAAATCAAAAGAAAAGGACAACAAATGGTTTGTATCTAAACTTGCAGTACCCCGAATATCACGGCTTTGCCACAAGGGGGAACAACAGCATCTATGAAGCACTCGAGATGCAAAACGAGATGCACCACGATGTCCATCTCATTCTCTAAGTCTCTATACAAGTCGACTAAAATATTCGAACACATACCTTGATCTTATACAGTATACCAAGGAGCGTGTTGAATGCGTCATCGCCTCCACCAATCGTCTTGTCGCTGGGCATCTGACCATCTGGCTGGATGCCATGCTCCAAACAGAAAAGCTCCCAGCAAGCATTGCCGATCTGGACACCGCCCTGACCTGAAGTGTGCAAAAGGATTGAAAAGGCATGTGGCATGACTTGTGGCATGATGCTTCATGGTTTGCTTTGTAGCTTGGAGAATCGGAGAAACGCGCGGAATCCATAGACTATGGATCAGTCATGATACTTCGTCCATACGAGTTGCTACGAATTGGAATCCCCTAGTGCGAAACATGGACCTCGAGCAGCGAAAAGACGCTGGACCATGTCGCACGAGCTCGGAAAGAAGCATGGCCACAGAATATGGGATTATGGGTGTGTATTTGAAGAAGGTCTCCAACCAGTGGGTTTTGGTCCATTTTCCTTCTTCCAGAGGGGGTCGAAAGTGGGGGTCTCCCGATTTTAATACACACTCAGGACTGTCACTGATGAGTGTGAACAAACCCATACATCTATGATTAAACACTCACACACACAAGCACATAACTTATAAGAACACACACACAACACCTGGAAGCACCAACAAACGCTCTCCCTAAGCAGGGTATACGTGGCAAACACGTGTAGTTGCTACCTTGAAAACAACATTGCAGCGCTTGGTGTTTGCAAAAAGAAGTCGCTGTATGACTTCAGGGATGGCACATCAAAGACCAGATTCTCCAAACCTCCAAACACTTGATCCATTTCAAAAAACCGCAAAAAGCACACACCAAAACAAAGAACTATAAGAAGATACCTTCTTTGAAAGAAAGGTAGAGAATCTGTCGAACACACACAGAAACACATGTGTCAAGCATTCATGGAATGTACCCACACCAAGTCAGAACCGCAAGGTCACATGAAGCCAGAACATTCCGACCCAGTCCCAAAGAAAAAACGGCACGAAACAACAAAGGATACTGAACCCAAACCTGAACCAAACCAATATAAATCACACTCCAACATAGTGGCCCAGCAAAGATCCAACTAATACACACAAAAGTCATTCAAATAATTCAGTTGTGTGTCCACTTGGATATGAGTTCCCACCATGCTCTTGATTTGTTTCTCTAATCATAATTAATGTCAATGTTTGCAACTCTGTAGCATGTGAGACTGGAGAGGCCCATGGCCCATGGCCCTCTCCAGTCACCTCCCAAGAGGTCAGTACCCTCTAGTTTCGACCAAAGAACCAATGTGGATGCAGATGGCCTCACGCATGGCTTAGACGAGTTCGAAAGCACAAGGAGGGGTACTGTGGAAAGTGCCGTTCAGCGCACCGCGTGATGTGGCAGCCTCGGACACGAATCCTGGAGCCCCAAAGCGTGCAACGGACGGCGCGGTTGAGGTCCTGCCATGGTGTTCCAGGCTTTCAGGCATCGTCAATCCTTCTCGTTTCAGAAGGTGTTGGAGGCTTGGGGGTGCAAGCCCTTGCCAGCCTTAGCCTTGGGAGTCTTGGGGCAATGGGGAACATCTTGTTTGTCTCTTCTTCAATCTTGTTCTGCACCATGATGGATCCTTTGGCCAACTGAGTAGACAGTCTACTCACCAAGGTTCCGCAGGGTACTGGACAACTCTATGCCCTAGGATTTCGATGCCTTGTGCTGGACAACTGGTTGGTGCTTTGTAGTTGGGAATGCTTCAGTCATCTTGATCCGGGACGACACTCCCCCAACCAGCACACCTGGTGCTCCGATGTGCGACAGCAACTGACTCTTCGACTCTGAGAGCAGCACCCTGCCGTGGGAGTTCCAGCAAGGCTCGCTCCTGCAGGGAGCTTCGAGGCGGCAGCCAGTTGCTTCGATCGTTGCGATGGGTGAAACCCAAACGGAAACAAAAGAACTTATATATATATACAGATACACACAAAACAACCCACCACCGGTTGGGTGGCTTTGGGAATATTGTTCTCTAGCAAATTGAGTGTCAGCTTAGTGACGTAAAGGTGACTGCTCGGAATCTCTTTTAAAACCTTTAAAAGAAAAAGGTCCCCGGAACTTCTGTTGAGTTGAGGGAGGTCATTTTGATCCGTCTTCTCACGAAGAAAACCATAAAGCTCCTCTCTCTTCGCCCTTTTGGACTTCCAGATGACCTGCAAACATATCTATCGCTAGAGGGGGCCCTTGACACCCAAAACAACGTTTGAAAGACGAAGATGTCCGAAGCCTTGGTGGTGCTTGGTGGTACAAACACAACTTGTTCGTTCTCCTATTCTGCTCCTATGTCACGCGCGTGACCGCGTGTGTGTGGTCCACAGCCCCAAACCAAGGAAACCGTCGACGGCACCACGCCGTCGAATGACTTCGAGTTGTTTGAGTCGTGGTGAATCATGACCAGCTGAATTGCAGAATCTGCGGAATGGTTGTTTAAAGAAATGGTTGCCTTTCTTGTGCATGAAAAACCAGTGAACCAACAAAAACTGCAGATGAAAGAACTCCAGCATTGCATGGCAAACACACAAACAGTGGGATATCCTCAAAATTCCTCTGCGCTTTTCTTTTCAACAGCACCATTCCGCTGCTAGGAAAGCAGAACTTGGACTTCCCTCAACCTGGCATCCGTTCTACGTCCGATCTCTGAAATCAGTCACAGAGGAACCCAGATTTCTGATTACCGAGTGATCTAGAAAAAAATAGAGACCCGACAAACCCGGCAAAAGGCATACATGAAGTCGGACACCTACTTTCTTTCAACCCAATGTGGTGACACAAACATGATTTGTTGGATGAATTGCTAGCCCTTCTCATGTTGTTGCAGTGGAACGCACTGCTCCTCGATGTAGCCCATGGTGACGTAGAAGTCCAGGACATTCTTTGCATCGAAGACATCGGACAAACTTAGTAGGGTGACATGTCTTGTGGTCTAAGTCTTGCACAGGCTAGATTTGCAGGTGCCTTTTGACTCCTGGAAAGCAATGATGGCAAGAAACAAAATGACAAAAGGGAAGAGAAGATCTACTCCCGCATGAATGCCAATTATTTGGCAGTTTCTTTAGGACACCCAACCAGGAAATACTCCGCAAACTCTAGAGCTGCGGCGGAGGGGCAATGATCTTGAGACGTTGTGCTTCGTTTGCTCATCCCCCCCATCCCCCTTCATCCTGCGCCCTTTTCAGCCTTTTGGAGATCAAGCCCGGGCGCCTCGGCGCACATACATATCAACGAATTTGTCAGCCGGCTTTGTCAGGGCACCTGCAAGCTTGGAGGTGTCATTTTGAGCTGCCAGAATGGACAACCGTTTGCTCAAGCGGCTGTAGCTGTAGCCAAAGACCGGAGGAAATGAGGCAACGAGCTTTACAAGTTCCTGAGAGGGCAAGTACGATCTGAGCAATGCGGACTTCGGCTGCAGGTTCTTCTCAATGCTCAGTCCAAGAAGTGGTGGGAAACATGCCACTGCCTTTGCAACTTGTATCTTGCTGAGCCCCAAGTCCAGCA